AATGGAAACCATGTAACTTTTAAATGCCTGAGAGTCTAAGGGAAAAGGTCTTGGGCTAAGTGTCAGAAAGCCTGAGTTCATAAGATCCCGGATCTAATCAGTCAGTTAATAAACATTAAGTGCCTACTATTCCCCAGGCACTGTGCTAAGCGCTGAGGATACAAATCCAAAAAAACCCCAGAAAACAAAAAAAGAGTGCCTGCCCTCCAGAAGCTTATAATCTAATGAGGAAGACAAGACACAAAAGGAAACTGTAAATTCCAGCTAGATGTCATAATGAGTGAGGAGACAATGATCTTTTGGGGTTAGAACTAGTCTATTTAATCTTAAAACTCTGGGGGGGAGGGTGTTTGTGTGAGTGTATAGCGGGGATGAGCATAGGGAAAGGTCATAGGTTCTATATGATTACATGTTTGGGCAAAGAGGGAGCAAAGAACAGAGGACCATGACAGACCAATAAACAGTGATTCCAGAATGAAAAATCACTGTTGAAAAGAGGCTCAGGAGGAGGCTCAGGAGAGGATGATTCTAAGAGAAAGATAAGACAAAAAAGAAAATAAGCATTTTATTATGTGTCAGGCACTGTGGTAAGCATTAACAACAATCTTGGATAATAGTGTTATAATTATCCCCACTTTACAATTGAGAAAACTGAGACAGGCAGAGGTTAAGTGACTAGCCCAGGTCACTCAGCCAGTATGTGAGGCCAAGTGAACTTAGGTCTATTCTGTCTTCAGGCCCAGTACTCCACCTACTTCACTACCTACCTGCCTCTAATAAGGAGAGATCTATTTTGATGTTAGCTATGTTTTTGCACTGTGCTTTAACCAACTTAAAATTACTTGCTAGGGGCTTTTTCCTCCCTCTTAGCAAACTGGCAAAGATGACAAAAAATGGAAAACATTAGAGAAACTGCAGGAAAATAGCTATGCCCATACATTGTTGGTGGAACTGTGAACAGGTTTATCTCTTCTAGAAAACAATTTAAAGTTATGCTAGAAAAAATGAATAAAACATTTATACCATTTGAGTGAGAAATCCCATATCTAGGTATATACTTCAAGGAGGTCAAAGACAGAAAGGTTTCATACATATCAAAATATTAATAGGAGTACTTTTTGTGGTAACTTGGAACTGGAAACAAAGCAGATACACACTGAATGGAGTTGTCATTGTTGAGTTGTTTTCAGTTGTGTCTGACTCTTTGTGACCCCATTTGGGGTTTTCTTGGCAAAAATACTGGAGTGGTTTGTCATTTTCTTCTCCAGCTCATTTTATAATGAAGAAACTGAAGCAAACAGGTGACTTGCATAGGGTCATGCAGGTAGTAAGTGTCTGGGCCAGATTTGAATTCAGGGAGATGAGTCTTCTTGACTCTAGGGTCAGCACTCTATCCACTGAGCCACTTAGCTGTCCCTGTTGGAAGGGGGGGTAGGCTAAACAAATTATGGTTTATGAATACAATGGAATATTGCTATGCCATAGGAAATTATGAATATACAGAGTTCAGAGAAATGTGGAACAACTTATATGAACAAATACAGAACAAAGGAAACAGAAACAAGAAAACAATATACTTAATTATAATGTAAAAAGAACCCCAGCCTGAATGCAGTGTAATTATATTGCATAAACTTGGCACCCAAGAAAAGTTGAGAAAATTCATTTCCTTACTTCATTGCCAGGGTGGCAGACTATGGAAGTGGAATATAGTATACACTGTCAAAGCTAGTCAGTGTATTGGTTGATTTTTACTGAACTATTTATTTTTTCTTTTAACATCTTTGTTATGAGGGAAGGCTTGCCAAGCTGGGGAGGGAGAAAGGAGTATATTTAGCAATCAATGTGATGTAAAAAACAGAAGCATTAGAAAAAAATTCCCTCACTGGTTATAGCTCCTATTCTCAGAGGGACAAAAGGCTTAGTCCTGGCCCAAAACCACATTCCATTGAGCAGTAGCAAGGCCTCATATGGGTGATTAGTCAAATGGGAGAGTATTTGGAATATGCCTCAGTGTTGTTGCCAAGAGAAAAAGCTCAAAGTTAATATTATAGCTCTGGGGACAGCTTGATCCCATGAATGTTCCTGTCTACCCATACTAATTTGTGAAAAGCTGACAGGTCTGTAATCATGGACAACACAAGGAATCTCTTGGGTGCACCAGGGCTGTATACCATCTTTACAGACAGGTTTAAATGTGGTCCTGTTGAGAGCTTTCAGATACTCTCAGTGTAGGCTGATGAGTTCTAAAGCCCATTTGAAAGGCTTATTAGCATCTTTGTTCTCCCCTCTAAAAGTTTCAGGGGTTTTGTTCCAGACCAGTGAATACAACAGTGTTGGGAACTATTAGTGTGGAATTGCTCCTCTTGGCTATTCAGAGAGTAGAATGTGGGCACTGTGAGATATTAAGTGACTTGCGTCCCTGGTCACACCTCTAACAGACAGAATATGAACCCAGGGCTTTCTGACTCTAAGTCAGAGGATCTAAGACTAACCTTCTATCCATTATGTCAAGTTGCCTCTTTTTTAATCATAAGCTACTATAATCAGGCAAGAGTTCATTACAGGAAAATGTTTTTCCAAGAAGTGTAAATTATAGGACTATCCTCAGTGAGAGCTTATACCAGAAAGGCTATTTACTAAAGAATTCAAAATTGACTGTGATTAGACCTTGAAAAGCTACCAGCATATTTATGGTTTGAATCATCATTATTGGGGCTTACTCTTCAAATACGATTATAATTTGTTTTTTCACAACTGTGGTAAGGTAGAGGGACCTTTGAAGCGGGCATATCTACAGGGTGCCCAACTTGTAATGGAAGGGAAACACAACTCTGGAGCCAGAGATGGGGAAGCTATCATAATAAGTACAGGCAGTTCTGGTTTAAAAACTCGTTTCACAGGGGGCCCTTGCCCACTCGTAGATGTGAAACTAGCTTTCATGCCAATTGTAGCTATTACTTAGAACCACAGAAGCTCCAAGTTAGAATGGGCCTACCTCAGAGGCCACACCCTCCACAATGTCCCTGACAAGTGACTCTCCAGCCTCTTTTTGAAGACTCCAAAGTAGGAACCCACTGTCTGCAGCTTTTCTACAGTTTTTATTCCAGTTCTGCCTTCTGAGGCTAATTATGTTCTCATATCATTTATAATATAACATAATATATAGTATATATTACAATATAATGTATTATATATTAGTATAATGTAATATATAGTATATTATAATGATATATCACATAATAATATATAATCTAATAAGCATTTATGTAGTGCTTTTTAAGGTTTACAAAGAGTTTTACATATTTTAACTCACTTGATTCTCATAATTACCCTGTGAGATAAATGCTATTGCTGGCCCCTATTTTACAGATGAAGAAACCAAGATATAGAGGTTAAAAGACTTATCCAGGATCACACAGTTAATATGCGTGCAAGGCTGGATTCAAACTCTAGTCTTCCTGACTCTGAAGTCGTGCGTTTCTATCTGCTTTGTTTTCCTGTGACAGTCTTTCTGGGACTTGAAGACAGCTATCATTTCCCACTCCCCAAATCTCTTCTTGGATCTAAACATCTGTAGTTTCTTCAACTAATCTTCACATATGGCACAGAAAAATCTTCCTTCCTCCTTCCTTCCTTTTCCTTAACACTTATATTCAGCAGCGAGTGATCTCTCCCTTCTTTTAAATTTGTAAAGCATTATTTGGAACCCCACCCCCACCCCCATACCTCCTTTGCATGTGTCCCACTCTACCTTACAGTATAATTAGGATACTAGATTTAGAACTAGGAGGACCTCAGAGGCGATCTAACTCAATCTCTCATTTTACATATGAGAAAAATGGAAGCACATAATATGGAAACATGTTTTGCATGACTTCACATGTATAATAGGTATCATATTGCTTGCTTTTTTATGGGTGGAGATGGGGCTGGAGGGAGAGAATTTGGAGCTCAACATTAAAAAATGAATGCTAATGAATAAATGAATGAATAATAGCAAGATAAATAAATAAATGTGTTTTTGTTTGTTTTTTAAAGGAAATGAAGGCACGGAGAGATGAAGATATTTGCCCCAGGTAGCAAATGGTGGAGATGGAATTCAAACTCTGGTCATCTGATACCTCTCCTCCCCATCCCTCACTCCCAATATAGCACTTTCCGCTACTATGATTTGTGTATGTCTCTCTCCCATGTCAGGTTGTAAGGTCCTTGAGAATAGGGTTTGTGTGTCTCATCTATCTTTATATCCCTAGTGTCTTGCACATTTTGGAATGGGACCAGACCTGAGATTTAATAGGTATGGAAAGATTAAGAGCACTCTCACTGAACAATGTAGATCAACACCTGCTCTGAAACTCAAATTCCTAGAGAGCTGCCTGGGGACCAAGGGGTTGTGACTCGTCCAGGGTCCCAAAGGATGTGATAGAGATAGGACTTGAACCCAGGTATTCCTAGCTCCAAGTCAGTTCACTATACACTGCACAATGCTGCCTTTTCATAAAAGCCACTTAATATTTGTGAAATTTGAATTTTAAATGGAGTGAAAGCTGTCTGAACCAAAAATGAGGCTAAAAACACAAACCCAGTAAGCACTGCAATAACCTACCAATTCCAAATGGAGTTGGAGCAGAGTATATATATAAATATATATGTTTGATTATATGACAATTATATTTCAATAATATTTCTTTTTTAATGCAATGTACTTTATGCCTTTAAAAACCTTATTCTGTGAAAGCATCTATAGGTTTCACCAGACTGCTAAACAGTCCATTTCACAAAAAAAAAGGTTAAGAACCCCTGAGTTACAGTAAAGAGGAGACAGAAAAGCTAGGAGTCATAAATTGAGTTCAATATTATGAAATTAATTAAAGCAGCCTCTGTAGTGAAATCAACAAAGACTGACCAGCTTCTCTTAAATGCAGACTATTTAGTTCTATGGAGACACTGGCTAGCAACCAAGTCCCCACTTAGAAGAGATTAAAAGACAAAGTAAATAAATAGAATTTAGTTTAATAAAGTAACATGGCAAATAATGCATTACCACAGGAACAGAGGTGCTAAAGTATGTCCTTTTACATACATTTTCCAGGAAATGGACTAATAGAGTAAACTTTGAAACAATACCAAAAAACAATGCACAAGTGTTTTTTTGGTTTTTTTTAACCATTAAAAAAGATAAACAGTACATGTTTGGAGTGTATTCGTTTTAGTCAAATATCTTTCACAATAAATTCCAGTGACAGAATTTTAGTCTTAAATAAGTGGCTGCTGATGTATCTAAATGTTATTATTCTGATAAAAGCAATTAAGGTTTAAGCATCTCTTTCTCTGTCTGTCCCCAGACTCCAAATGGAAGAGGACACAATCAATTGCCAATCTGCTTTGAATAAAGTTCCACATCTATACAAGTTGGGCTCCTAGAGGTAAGTCCTAAGGCTTAGGTTTGGGTTTTTTCAGAGTACTAGCAGCCTCCCTGTCTAGGAGAGGAATTTTTACTCTTTTGCTTACTGTTTTATTTTTTTACTTATTGTTTGAAGAGGGATGCGGAAAGGGAGGGTGTTGTGTCATTTCTAAGACTTGCTGGTAGTGCTCTTGTGGGTATGGCCCCATGACAAAGCCTTCCCAACTGTTGCTGTATCACTACCTGAAGGAACCTGTGAATCAATCAATCCTGAAAATACTAAATAATATTTCTAAAGTGGTGATCACCTACCAATCCTATTAGTCCTGCACCCTGACAAAAGCCATAATCCAATATCGTGAACACAGCATATCTCCCAAAGCCTTTAAAACAAAGTACTGGTTTCACTCAGTCGTGCCTGGTAGAGTTGGGATATTGGACAGTCTTTGGGCACTTGTTTCCAAGGATCTGATGATGCTTCAGTGAGCTGCAGAATAAAGAGAAGGAAAGAGTCAGCTCTAAGACTTTGTTAGAGTGTACGTAACTAAATACTGAGCTTTCCTTGCCACTTCTTGCAACCATGAACCTGAGGCAGGTTGTCACTGTTGGACCCATTTTACAGGCAGCTAGGTGGCACAGTGGACCAAACACTAGACCTGGAGTCAGGAAGACCTGAGTTCAAATTCATCCTCAGAGACTTACTTGCTGTGTGACCCTGGGCAAGTGACTTAACTGCTGCCTGCCTCAGTTTCCTCATCGGTAAGATGAGGATAATCATAGCACCAACCTCCCAGTATTGTTGCGAAGATCAAATGAGATAATATTTATAAAGTACTTTGCAAACCTTGAAGTACCATATAAATGCTAGCCATTATTATTATTATTATTATTATCATTAAATTTCTAATGAATTGCTTAAACTACATAATGAATTAGTGTTAGGGATAAGTGTAGAGATTAGTGTTCCCAGTCCTTCAGTTTGGGGTACATTATTTAGTCTTTGTATTTTGCCATTCAGACTGACAAGAAATGATAATAAGGTTACATGAATCTCAATATTTTACTCCTATGGCATCTTCACTATTTTAAAGATAAGATACAATGTTTCTCTTGTATATAGATAAAATCACATCTAAATTATTCTATACAGATATCATGGTGAACTCTTAATTATTGAAGTAGTATAGTAAGGCAGCTAGGTGGCGCAGTGGATAGAGTGCTAGCCTAGAGTCAGGAAGACCCATCTTCCTGAGTTCAAATCTGGCTTCAGACACTTACTAGCTGTGTGACCCTGGGCAAGTCACTTAACCTGTTGGCCCCAGCTTCTTCATCTGTACAATGAGGATAATAATAGCACTTACTTCCCAGGGTTGTTGTGAGGATCAAATGATATAATAACTGCAAATTGCTTAGAATAGTGCCTGGCATATAGTAAGCACTACATAAATGTTAGCAACTGTTGCTATTATTATTATTATAATATAGATTAAGTCAGGTATTATGCTAAGCACTGGATCAGGGGTGGGGAACCTTCAGCCTCAAAGCCACTTGTAGCCTTCTAGGTCTTTGGGTGTGGCCTTTTGACTGCATACAAGTTTTACAGAACAAATCCCCAAAAGGACTGCTACAAGGTGAAGCAAGAATTTTATTTTTTTCTACATTCTGGCTACTGAGTGGAGTACCTGTGAGCATGCACAGTAGTTAAGCTTCCAAAACCTCAGCCTGAAATAAGAGTACTCTGGGTCAGTGTGGCTTGATTGGAGAAAAGAAAATTGGGCAGTATTTCTATAGGACTCCATGCATCTCTTCCTTGTCGAGAAATGGTATACTTTCTCTGCAAATCTCAAAGACCACAGACCTGGCTGAAAGACCAGCGCAATCTCACCTCCAATCTCAAGTAGTTGCTACAGAGCAATAACGAAAGTGACAGAGAAGGGAGGTGATGAGAACACAGGAGAGCTTAGGGTTTCTTTACTTCTCTACTGCCTGCTGGTGACAGCCCAAGAGTGGGAGTTGTCCAGAAGTTCCCAAAGACTAGAATCTGATGGGAGGAGTGAAAGATGACCTCTGAGGAACGAAGGTGTGGTGGAAGAGGAAGGCTTTTTCTCTTTCTTTACTTTTTTTTTTTTCAAATAACAAGCATTTATTTTCTCTCCTGCCCATCTTCTACTTTCTTGTCCCAAAAAACAAAACAAATAAAAATAGTACAAAAACATAAACTTTCTCTTCCTGGAGACTCAGAGCTGGGAATAAACAATTTCAGGTTTTCCTCAACAACCCTGTGAAGTAAGCAATACAAATATTAACTCCAATTTACAGAAAAGGAAACTGAGGCACTTAAGAGGCTGTGATTTGTCTATAATCACACAGCTATGTCTGAGGAGGGATTTGAACAGATTTCAAATCTGATGCTCTTTGAATCTTCTCACTAAACTATGCGATTATCCGAGGAAGTGGAAAGATTGTTATGTATGTGTGTATATGTATATACATGAACGTGTTGTAAATAGATGTACACATATGTAATGCATATAGGCATACATGCATACCTCTTCTTATTGTGTTTTGCTTTACTGCACTTTATAGATGTTGCATTTTTTACAAGTAAAGGTTTGTGACAACCCTACACAGCACCATTTTTCTAACATCATGTACTCATATCAGGTCCCTGTGTCACATTTTGGTAATTCTCACAATATTTCAAACTTTGTCATTATTATTATTACATCTGTTATGGTGATCTGTGATAAGTGATCTTTGATGTTACCATTGTAATTGTTTTGGGGCACCACGAACTGTGAAATAGCAAACTTGATAAATGTTGTGTGTGTTCTGTCTGCTTCACTGGCCCACTGTTCCCCTATCTTTCTCCATCTTTTCAGGCTTCCCTATTCCCTGAGACACAACAATATTGAAATTAGACCAATTAAAAGCCCTATAATGGCCTCTAAGTGTTCAAGTGAAAGGAAGAATCAATGCAGCAAATTTCAATGTTGTCTTATTTTAGGATGCCACAGTCACCCCAGTCTTCAGCAACCACCACCTGATCAGTCAGCAGCCACCAACATCGAGGTAGGACCTTCCACCATGTTAAAAAAAATTATAATTCACTGAAAGCTCAGACGATGGTTAGCAATTTTTTTGACAATAGAGTATTTTTTAAATTAAGGTACGTACATTGTTTTTTAGACATAATACTATTCTACACTTAATAGACTACACTATAGTATAAGCATAAATTTTATATGTACTGGGAAACCAAAAAATTAACATGACTTGCTTTATTGCAATATTCACTTTATTGTTTGGTTTAGAACCAAACCTGCAAATATCTCCAAGGTATGCCTGTATATGCCTGTAACAGAGGACTGGCCAATGAAGGCTCAATCCCTGACATGGAATGAAGGAGCCTTAATCTCTACTTCAGAGCATACATGGGTATTCTATGACTGTTTCTGGTTGGTCAACCATGCGGTAAAGAAATGTTCTCTTGACCGACTGCTGAGTGAGAACTGGATATGCATTCCAAAGGTACCAAATCTGGCAGTCAAGGTCACGCACTCCTATAATCCCTGCTACTGGGGAGGATGGAACCTACTGCATCACTTGAGCTCAGCAGTTCCTAGCAATAGTAGGGCTATAAAGCCAATCAGATGTCCACACTAAGTCTCGTACCAATGGGGGGCAAGTCACTTAACTGCTGACTACCTCAGTTTCCTCATCTGCAAAATGGGGATAATAACAGCACCCACTTCCAGGGTTGTTGTGAGGATCAAACGAGATATTTGTAAAGTGCTTAGTACAGTGCCTGGCACATAGTAAGTGCTATATAGATATTAACCATTATTATTATTTCTCTGACTCTTTCAGTTTATTCTTTCCTGCTCTTAAGTAAAGCAGTATTGCAGATGGAAAGGAGTAGGTTATGACTTTGTAAGGTCTCAGAAGGTCCAGGGATGGGAGCCCATGCCATAGTATGCTATCCATAAGGAGTCATTTATGAGATCCAGCTCAGCAATGAACTTGACTAGCAATGGAGATGCTCTTTACTTCATTTACTTGCTAAGCTGTGCATAGAAATGAATTTGGTGGGGCAAATGCTTCGTAACAAACACTAAGAAACTCAGGGACCAAGGAGGTATGGGGAGAATGGGCCCCCAACTAGGGGGAGCTAGGGGATGTTTTATGGTTTTTTACTTATTATATCTTCTCAGTAAATATCCTTTTATACAACTAATTGTTATTAATTGATTAAATGAAACTAAGGTCCTAATTAGTAGACAGTATCATTGATATATGGGAGGTATTAACTGAAATAGCATCGATATTGAGTAGACCACACGAGAAAGAGGATTCAAGCCAATAGCATTAGAAGGACACCTCCAATCTCTCAGGGGTACCCCTGAAACCATGAGAAGAGAGATATGGTCTTGTTCTGGGAACCCAAATCATCAGAGTGGGGCTCTGGGATTAGGAAACCCAGAACTTATAAGGAACACACACACACACACACACACACACACACACACACAAGTTGTCTTGTCTAGTATGTGTCAGAGGTAGTACCTGAACTTAGGACCTCCTGAGTCCAAGGCCAGTTCTCCAATACCATGCTGCCTACTGCTACTCTATATATTTAAAGATACTCCCATTAGGGCTGCTGCTAGGGCATTTTGCTCAGGGATGATGAAGAACTTAAAATTCCTCAATTACATTTAATGGGTCTGATGCGTTTGATGATTTCTATTCCCATCTCCATTCTGATTGATGTAATAATGGAAAATATCTATTAAAAACCATATATCAATTACTTAATATAATCTGTATGGTATATTAATACATAATACATAATTATATCAATATATTACATTAAATAATCAATTATTTAATATTTAATAAACAGCATCAATAAAGTTAATAAATATTAAAATATTTAATAAATAAATTAAATATAATAAATTAGAATATTAAAAACATATGGCATTAATAAAATAAACATATAATATATAATATTACTCCCCCTTCACATACCCTTCAGTCCAGCTAAAGTGGCCTTCTTGCTATTTGGCACATAACATTTCATCTGCCTTCTCCGTGTCTTTGCACAGGCTGTGCCTCATGAGTAGAATGCATCCCTATTCACATTTGCCTCTTGGAATCCCCTCTCTGCTTCAAAATTCAACGCAAATGCCACTTCCTACCATGAGGCCTTTCCTGATCACCCAAGCTCCCAGCTATTACTGCCTCCTCCCTGAAAAGTTCCTTTGTATTTATTTCATATATCCTCATGTGTATGCATGTTGTTTTCCTAAGCTCCTAAGGCAGGAAATTTCATTTTTGTCTTTGCCTAATACAGTATGTGGAACATAGTAGGAGCCTAATAAATGATTGTTGATTAGTTAGTTATAAAACAAATGGATCCTAGATTTAGAGCAAGAATGGGCCTTTGGAAGTACTCTTTCCATATAAACATGGAAGTGACCCAACTGACATTATAAATTCCTCCTGGACTTGATATGTGGCATGTGATAGGAAGCACCCGGACCTTCCAAAAATTCTTAACCATTTTTGTGTCATGGACTCCTTGGGAAGTCTAGGGAAGCCTATGGACCCCTTCTCAAAATAATGTTTCTCAATACATAAAATAAAAGACATAAAATCACAAAGGAAACCAATTATTATAAAATACAGTTACGCAAGTTTTTTCTTAAAAGCTCACAGACACTAGGTTAAGGACTCCTGATCTAGAGAGCAATTAGAAGTTGTTATACATATTTTTTAAGATCTTCAAACAAGGAAGTTACATTCTTATGTTAATATTTACCCGAAAGAGAACCAATAGTGGATGAGGCTCGAGAAGACCACGTAACACACACTGACCGTCCCAGACATGGCCAGTGACACGAAACCCAAGCCACACAGCACACAGAGCAGCATGAGGCCACCTACAGAAATAACGACACCTGGAGAGGGGAGAAATGCCAGGTATGAGAGGGCTCAGTCAAGTTACAAGGACTATGTTTGGACCCAATGACACAAAGTTGTGATCAATATTCTTTGATGCTGACTGGGCCTTAGTTACAGAGTTCTCACCTGCCCCTCTGGCAGGGGGAAGGAGGAGGAAGGAGTGGCAGCTAGGTGGCACAGTAGATAGAGCACCACCCCTGGAGTCAGGAGGACCTGAGTTCAAATCCTGCCTCAGACACTTGACACTAGCTGTGTGACCCTGGGCAAGTCATTTAACCCCATTGCCTAGCCAAAAAAAAAAAAAAAAGGAGGAAGGAAGGCAGAGTATAAAAATGGATACCTTACATTTTCAGAGTATTTGCCTTCTGAAAAGTCTAGACAGGACTCAGGAACCTGTGGCCTCAAGGCCACATGTGGCCCTCTAGGTCCTCAAGTGTGGCCCTTTGACTGAGTCCAAGTTTTACAAAACAAATCCTTTTATTAAGGGGATTTGTTCTGTGAAGTCTGGATTCAGTCAAAGGCCCATACTTGAGGGCCTTGAGGCCACAGGTTCCCCACCTCTGGGCTAGAATGCTTTCCTAGGTACCTTCTAGAGAAAAATAAAGAAAAAAAATTATAAAGAAATAGCACAGAGAGATATAAAATCCTCTCTTCAAGGTCAAACAGCTAGGACTGGTCCGTAAGGATTCCATCATAACAAATAATTTCTAATCTGCATCAAGAACTGTATGAGTGGAAGATAAAAGAATAAAAGGAAGTTCTGAGCTTAATCAGAAGCACTTGGTCTAAGAGATTTTGACTAGAACAGACATAATACTGCATACAATAAGTGCTCAATAAATGTTGTTCAACTGAGTGGCCTTATGCAAGTCACTTAACCTCTGGGACTCAGTTTCTTTTGTAAAACTGAGGGTATTGGACTAGACTTTCCTGGCTTCCTTTAAGTTCCAACTAAAATCCCATCTTTTACAGGAAACCTTTCCCATCTTCTCTTTCTCTTTTTTTTTTCTTTTTCCAGTCAATAGGGGTTAGGTGACTTGTCCAGGGTCACAGAGCTAGTAAGTGTCTGAGGCTGGATTTGAATTTAGGTCCTCCTGACTCCAGGGCTGGCACTCTATCCACTGTGCCACCTAGCTGCCCCCCACCCCCTCTTAATTCTAGTGCCTTCCCTCTGCTAACTATTTCCTATTTATCTTTTATATAGTTTGCTTTGTATATATTTGATGGCATGTTGTCACACCTATTAGATTGTAAGTTCCTTCAGGGCAGGGACTGTCTTTTGCCTCTTTTTATATCCCCAGTGCTTAACACAGTGCCTGGCACAAAGTAGGCACCTAATAAATATTGATTGATTGATAGATGATCTGTAAGGTTCCTTCCAACTCTACATTTAGGATCCTATGACTAACCTATTTTATGGAGAGAAAATATGAAATACCTTCCACTAATATAACCCCAACACAGGCAGCCAGAGACATCAGGACCACAAACAGCAGGAAAAATCCAACGGGAATGGCAGATACCACAACGAACATCAGCAAAGTTAAGGCAACAAAGGGATGTTTATCCAGGTATTGACCAACTGGAGAGTTCATAAAAGCAATCACCTGTGGACAAAGGGGACACAGAGTTACTACATACAAAGTCAGGTTATTTTAACTACTTTGGGGAGGCAGCATCTCAAGGCCTTTTCTCCTAGTCATATTCCTGACATGATTCTACTCCAGGTCAAATAATCAAAGAGGTCTGGGTAATCAACCAAACTATGAGTGTGGAATGTCCTAATGGATGTGACAAAGTCAAAGAGGCAGTCTAAAACTTAGGCCAAAGAAAGGGTTTGGGGTTTTTTGAGGTAGCATTGTGTGGTCTGAACCTGTTGGTTGCCGTTTGTCTCAAAGAGGACCAACGACATGCGATGTTGAATTGGATTTAGTGAGGCAGAGCTGCACCAAGTCATCAGCTTCACTCTCTCTTCCAGAGTCATTGAAGTCCAGTGGCAAGATAAAAGTCAGGACAATAGCTGATGGCCTGGGATGCAGTAGGTGACTTTGGCATCTTCAATGTCTGACCAAGATCTAAGTGCTCCACAGCACTTGCTTCAGCCACTTTCATGACTGCTGGAACATTGTTCTCATCCACCCATTCTGACGGGAATTCTTCAATGTGTGGGATAGGCAGCACCCTAACTCACTGATGGGTCTGAGACCTGTTGGTTACCCTCAACCTGATTTAGCTTATCTGCCAAGATAGTTTTACTGGGGATAGGTTTACCAGGCTGTGGCTGCTACCTGTGCTACAGCTTCTTGGAGTGTACCTAAGCAACAATAACAAAAACAATAACTACTGGAAACAAAGCAGATGCACACTGAATGGAGCTGTTGTTGTTCAGTCATTTTCAGTCATCATCTGACTCTTCGTGATTCAAGTGGCCTGCCATTTCCAGCTTAAATAAGAGATGAGAAAACTGAGGTAAACAAGGTTAAGTGACTTGCCCAAGGTCACACAGCCAGTAAGTGTCTGAGGCTGGATTTGAACCCAGAAAAATGAGTCTTCCTGATTCCAGGTCCAGAAGCTCTATCCACTGTGCCACCTAGCTGCCCCAAGGTACTATATAAATGTTAGCTATTATGATGTAGAAAATTCACAGTATGGAAACTCCCCCTACCTATATTTATAATCATGTCAGAAATTCAGAATAACACCTTCCACACATACAGATCAACAACTCATCTATTACTTAAGAGTTTTAAAGAGTTTCCTGGGGCACCGAGGGGTTAACTGACTGTAGTTAGTAGACCCCTGTCAGAAGATACTCTATAAATCTGATTCAATATAAACACTTACCAAGCAAAGTGTGGTGGAAAGAGTGTTGGATTGGGAGTCTGAGAACCTGAGTTTGAATCCTGTCTCTGCCATTTAATACCTGTGTGATGTTGTGTTTAACATGTCACCTCACTTATTTGGGCTTTGGTTTCCGTAACTGCCAAAAGCAAAGTTGGCCTCAATTACCATGAAGGTTCCTTTCAGCTCTAAATCGATATGGTTGGTATGAGGTACTTTGCTAGGTACAGGGGATATAAAACCCAAAGAAACAAAACAGGGCCTGCCCTCAAGGAGTTTGTATTCTCCTTGGGGATACACCCAAACATCTCACATCTGTCCCCTTTTCTCCTCCTCCTCCTCGGGTCTTCAGGCTCTCATCACTTCTCTCAGAACTATGCAACATCTTGGTTTCCATTCCTCAGGTTTATTGCCTCTAATCCTCACTCCACTTGCACCTGCAGCTGGGCCTGGTTTCAACTCCCCAGAACAAGCTGCCCTTCCCAAGATAAGCTCACAGCTTCTAATCTCATCACCGTACTGCAAATTCAAGCCTGATACCATCTCTCTCAGTTTTCTCTCTCTTATGATTGCAGGGTAGAAATTAGACTTCCGACTCATTCCACTTTGCACTTGCAGTTCTGCCTGGTTTCAACTCTGCAGAGCAAGATGCCCCCTCGCCCTTCCTGGTTCCCAACCCACCCTCTTCTTCAGGTGGGTTGTCTTCCCTTGTTAGATTGTCAACTCCTTGAGAATAGGTACTATCTTCCTTTTTCTTATTTATAAAATGAGAATTTACACAATACATTTATATAATATTTATGTAATGTTTATATAATGTTTCTTAAATTGAATTAATCCAAGATACACCCACCTGCCAAAGTGTCTTTTCCTAAAGTGCAGGTGTGACCACAACATTTCCCTACTCAAATTCTAATGGCTGTCCATTGCCTCTAGAATCAAACTGAAACCAAGGAGTTTCTATTCTGGTCAGCAATAAAAGTAGAAGCAACACGCAGCCAATAACTTGTCAGAATAATAAGCAAATATCTTGGGGCAACTTGGGATGGGGTGGGAGAATGATTAATAAACCAGGATGTTTAATAAACCATCTCACATTACATTTTTCCAACTCTATTTTCCTTTAACATCTTACTTTCCAAGTAAAGGAAGGCAAGAGACTGGTCACTAAATCCATCCCGCCCTAAAGCATTGCATAATGTTTTGTTTGTTTACAGTTGTTTTTTATTGCTGCCATTAGCAAAGACCAGCCAAATTACAATGTGCTGTCCTTTTTATACCACATCACTGATGCCTGGCAGAAAGAGAATAATAGTAAACTGTTCTTCCAGTAGTAGTGATAGGTTTGCATTATATCTACACTTTTAATTAGTCCCCCTTAGCAAGTGAAGGCAATTGTGACATCTGCCTCAGTTAGCACAGGGTCAGGGGAAGGGATGGTAGGATTGATTTTTAGCTCTGACATTTCCATTTCGGTCCTATAACTGTTCACTGAATAAACCATAACACAGACCCAGAGACAAAAGTAAAGCTTTAAAAAAAAAAGAGAGAGAGAGAGAGACAGAATGTCAGAAATGTCTGCTTGGGTTAGAGAAGCTTCACACTCTATTTAGCCCAGAATCTGTCTCTAGCACAATGCTTTGCATATAGTAGCCCCACTATATGCAAATACCACTATATTTGGTGGGAAGAATATAGTAATTTCTTCTATAATGTCATCCCCAGAAGATAGGGGGTAACCTTTGTGAAAAATGATTATTAATAACCAATATCTTGGAGATTCAGAGCTTCCCCCAACCCCTTTCTTGCAAAGTCCTGACTTTAAGTTCAGTTGTTCTTCAGAAGGATCTATTACTGATAATGAGATTGCATTTACTCTCCTTATCCTGGTCAGCCCCCACCCAAGCTGGTAAGTAATTTAATCTAAGGTAGGGAATACGTAAACTTGGGTAGAGACAGATTCTTTTGTGTACATAGCCCAAGGCTGGGAGTGGTCTGGTATAGCTGGGAGTGGTTTAGTATAGAGATCTTTTCTCGGTCCAGGGGTGAGATGATCATTGAGTGATGTCAGCCCCTGTTGAAAGGGTACTAACCCTAACCCCAAAGGGAGCTCAGTTCCAAACTGCAGCTGTCATGCATGGACACATGCATGTTGCGCTCTTTAAGAGAAATAAACATGGCTACAACCTCATTGTATTTATCTTTCTTAGACGAACTTTGTAGGCTGACACCTTAAACACCCTTAAATTTTCTATTATTAACAATTATGGATTTCCTATTAAGAGCAGCATGACAACATGGTGAGAGCTGGCCTCTGACTGCGGATCACAGGGTCCAATTTCTATTTCTACCACACAGGGGCTGTGTGACTACAGGAGAGTGACTTCAACCTCTCAGTACACACCCATTTCCCCCTTCCTATCTCCCAGCAAAATGTATGTATTATGATGTATATATTTATTAAGCAACTACTATAGTAGTTAGCACAGTGCAGAGAACTATGCTAAACGCTGGGGATACAAAATGAAGCAAAATACAGGTCCAGCTCTCAAGACACTTATTAGCTGCGTGATCCTGGCCGAGTCAGGGGATAATAACAGCACCTACCTCCCAGGGTTGTTGTGAGAATCAAATGAGACCCTTATCAGCCAACACCAACTACTGACCAACTGCGCACCAACAGCCAGGTTAGCCCAAGGATCCTGGCAGTGGCAGCAACCCCCAGATATGGTGGTCTGTTTCCGGCCCAGCCCACAAAGCCATCACCCCAGGAAGCAATCTCCATAGAGATGTGGCTGCATATGCAACTGATTCAGTAGAGGATGGCTGCAGAAGATCCAGAAAAGACTGTTCTGGACACCAAAGATCTTGGCAGTGTGAAATTGTTTAAAGTCAGAAATTAATATGTTTTTCTCAGTAGAAATGATACCAAAGAAGATGCTGCTGTACCGAGGGACCATAAGACCTTTCCTTTTGACTTGAAAATGAACCATATCCATAATGTCTTTTTATTGGAAGGTGAACCCCATGAGAGCAAGGACTGTCTTGTAAGTAAGGATGATTTGTATCCCTGGTGCTTCACACACAGTAAGGGCTTTATAAATTCTATTTTACTCATTCATTAACTCATTGCTTACAATAGGGTAAGAGAGATAGTACAAATATTAATATCTCCATTTTACATATGAGGAAATTGAGACACAGAGATTAAAGTGACTTGCCAAAGAATGGTCAAATGAGAAAGCACTATCCACTAACGCCAAATAATACAGGTAGTGAGAGAGTCAAGATTTGAATCCAGAACTAATAACTCCAAAATTCAACACTTTTCGACCACACCTTTTTGTCTCTAATGGAAGGAAGGACTGGTCTAGAGAATTTTTAAAAATCTAAGAAATTACTGATGATAGCCATCAAAATAAGGATTTTTGCAACACACTTAGTTGACGTAATTGTTCTCTCCCCAGGACTAATCTTTAAAAGAGTCTGAGTTCCCTAAGCCCACACTTATTGATAATACTGGAGAGATAGGGGATAGAGAACAGAAAGTTTCTAGGTGACAAGGAAAGCCAGTTTAAGTCTTATTTTTTTTGTAACCAGACCTGTGATTTCATCAGTGTTGGTAGCTTCCACTGAGTTACTTCTGCTGCCAATGCAGATTGTCACATGTTCTTTAATTTAGAAAGCTGCCTGGTCCCCCCAACTAGTGATAGAGCAGAAGTAGGACCAAACCCTTTTCTCCTCTAAAGCACTGCCTCTCAAGATTTAAAACATTTGCCTCTAATAATCCACAACATGAAAAATCAGTAGATTTTTCTGCAATGAGAGACAAAATTGAGAGGCATCATAATATGATGAAACCAATTAACAGATAAACATTTATTAGTATTTACTATGTGCCAGGCACTGAGGAAGCAGAGAAAAGCAAAAACAGTCCCTGCCCTTGAAGAATAGACCAAGTTGGACACCTTGATTCAAACTCTGACTCTGACACTTCTTAGCTGTGACTCAGCAAGTCACCTCATGTCTCCAAGCCTCAGTTTCCTCAGCTGTAAAATGAAGATAATACTTGCACAATTTACTTCACAAGGTCATTGTGAAGGAAGACCTTTGAAAACTTCCAAGCTATATATGTCAATTGTTGATGTGCAAAACAAATGCGCAAATGACATGAAACCAGTTATTTTTTCTGCAATTCAGAGAGCTTTATAAAATCCTAAAAACTAGCCTTGGAAAAGGGATTGTTCCTGGATGTTTAGGGGACATCTGGCCTTACTTGCCTATCTGGGTACTCTCAGCCTTCACTCTGGATCCTAAACAGAGGCCTAGCTTGGCTAGGAGTTACCCAGACCAAATATTTATTGCCTGACGAATTCCACTGTGTGTGTGTGTATATTGGCAAATGTAGCAAAACCCAACCCCATCACTCTGAATTCTGAGCTGCTGAAGACTGAGTAGAAAATGCCAAGCAACCAAAGTTTACAAATTGCTTCTTTCTTGATTTCTCTCTTTACCAAAAAGTCATGCCTTTGCAAGAGATAAGGTCTTTCTCCATAGGGTAGAGATAGAGACTTATGATTTCATCTGTGAGCTACTGGATGAGGAGGGCGGCTAGGTGGTGCCATAGTGCATAAAGTGCCAGGCCTAGAGTCAGGAAGACTCATCTTCCTGATTTCAAATCTGGCCTCAGATACTTACTAGTTGTGTGACAGCTAGTCAAGTCATTGGGCAAGTCACTTAACCCTGTTTACCTCACTTTCCTCATCTGTAAAATGAGCTAGAGAAGGAAAAGGCTCGAGCATCTTTGCCGATAAAACCCCAAATGGGGTCATGAAGTTGGACACAACTGAAAAGAATGAACAAAAAAATTGGATGAGGGAACTCCTTCTACGAAATCAGATTAGCAAGTTCTCTGCAATTTATACTCCTAAAGAGTGCTTAGAGCATTGAGATTTTAGATGACCTGCCTGGTCCCAAAGCCAATATGTATGAGAGGCAGACCTTGAACCCAGGTGTTCTAGGCTCCAAGACCAGCTTTCTCTCCAGTACACTGTTTCCACTGTCTCTACATTAAACTGAAGGACAATGAACAGACATTAAACCTCACAACCAGACTAGAGTTTCTAATAGGTCTGGCCCCTCATTTGGAAGGGGCTGACTTATTCACAAGGACCTACCTTCTAAAATAGGGGAAAAAATTACAAGTTTAAAGAACACTAGATTTGAAATGAGAGAACTTGGGTTCAAATCTAGTACTATATGTGTTACTTCTCTGGGACTAAATTTCTTCGTTCATAAAGTGATGCGGTTGGGTTAGATCAGGGGTTCCCATTTATTGGTTTGCAAACCCAAATGGTGGTTTGTATATGGTCCAACAGGTTCACACTAAAATTCTTTAATGCCTCCTGAGGCAGTAAATAATTATAGAATATTATGAGTAGCATATTAAAATTACCCTGGGGGAGATTACAACACACTTCTGTTGTTGAAACAACATAGAACAAAAAACATTGGGAACCAGTGGTTTAGATGATCTATAAACATTCATTCCAGCTCTAAATCCTACGATAAAGGGTCATGTTCTAGCACTGGGCAGCCTGCAGATGATTCAAACTCACCTTGGAGTTACTCTGGATGGAATTGATCAATGAAGCTAGCTTCTTCTGTAGCTCCTGTAAATCTCTGGATGTACTGGAAGTCTCCATTTTCACCATCCTTCTTTCCTACCTGCTCAAGCTTCCTCAATGAGGTGGCAAACAAAATAACCCAACTCTGTATTTCACATGTCTCTGTTTACTTCTTGCTGTAAGCAAGGGAAGAATGGTAGTTCTTAATCAATTAAGAGTCTGCAACAAATCAGATCAAAGTGCTGTAGTTGCTGAGCATAATCTCTAAGGTCCTATTTTCCTTCATGAAGAACCTATCTGACAATTCCCACTGACCCTGATCTTTCTTTCTAGACTTTCTAGACCTTTCTGGACTCCCCCTGCCATTTATTATACATACTACATATTTAAGTACTAGATTTATATTGTCTTGAATTTAAGTTCTAATTGTTCTATGTACCCAGTCTTCTCAATATCTCTAAAAACTGACTGTACTCACAGCACTATGCTAGCCTCATGGTACGTATTCAATACATACCCATTAAGAAATGAATTGACTTCAAACCTGAATGGTACAAAGGTGAGTTGAGCCAATAACCAGGCTCATCCTCTTTCTCCCCATCTCACCCCAAGTGATCCACTTGGTTTGTAATATCAACCCGAAAGTGATCTTATCTCAAGTCCTGTTCTACTTGAGCAGTTCCCAAGCTTATTCAAGATTTATTTGATTTCTAAAGCCCTTTTACATTAAAAAGTCAAATTCAGTAGTGGTGTATCTAACATTACCAAGTAAATAAGCTCCTAAGAGCTACTGATCAACAAGTATTCACTGAATTCCTCTCATATAAACTAGATTTCTATAAATCGTATCATATTCCATATGTACTAGGGACATTTGGTACAGTAAATAAACAATAAAGCAAAAAAAAAATCATTATATAAAGCAAATGTTCCCTTCTAACTTATCTTAATGCATCAAGTCTAGATTTTCAACTCAGGTTTGCTTAAAACAATACTTCAGCAATAGCTCCAGGTTTAGGGGCATCCTATCAACTGGGTTTATCTCATTTCACTTCTAGGCAGCCTTGTCCTCCCCAAGCTACTTCTTCAGGAGCTGAGAAACTGAACTATTACATCAATAAAGTTTTCCTCTCCCCATTTGTCACCAAGCCCATACCTGTATCAACACCCACCCCTCTTCCTAGGATCTCTTATTACTCAACCTTTGATATCTATACAGTGAATTTTTAACCTTTTTGTGTGTGTGTGTGTGTCAAGGACCCTTTGGCAAGCTTATGGACTCCTCAGAAAAAATGTTTTTAAATGCATGAAGACAAATACATAGAATTACAAAGGAAACTAATATTGAAATAGTTTCATATATACATACATAGTTATTTATAAATAATACAGAAATATATGCAATGTTTACATGTTCATGTTACACGTGTGTATTTATATACATGTGTGTACATATGCATGTACATGCATAGGTATAAAAATTTCATGAACCCCAGGTTAAGAAGGCCTGGCTAGGCCATTTTATCCAAAAAGAAGGAATAAACCCCAGCAGCTCCCACAGGCAACAATAACCCAACCCCCAGAGAGAGAAGACAAGGCCTTATCAATTTGTCTCTTGACAAATTTTGTAAGTTAGTGTTCAGGGAGGGATGCCAACATCCTACTCTCATTCCTGAGCCCCAAAGTAAATACTGTCTGTTTCTCTCCCTGACTCTACCCTTCTCCTGGGGGCCAAACTGTCACCCCAACAACATTCTAATCCAGAGCTCAGTGCTGAGACTGGACTGGGGTAGGAATGAGATCTTTCTAATTGAGAAAGGAGAACCAGGGCTCCCTGTTGTACTTCTCCCTTCTTAGATCCTTAAATACCAGTATTTCCTCCTTGCCAAACCCAAGACCCAGCTCAGGGCCTCTCAGTTCCCACAGAGCCCCAAAATTACTGTGAGGAAAGATCCCAGGCTCCCTTTAGGGCCACAGGGAGAGAGAAGAGATTGAGGAAGTAGTCATCCTTTTCCTAAACACAATGTGTTTCGTTTTGTTCTGGGGGGTGGGGAGATGGAGGCATCCAGTGCGTCCCAGCTCTCCGGGTTCTCTCCCTTCCCAGATCAGATATCCAGGACTCTCACCTGGTGTGGATTCCTTCCGCAGCTCCAGCTTCCGAGACCCCGTTGCCCACCTGTATTGGCCAGCGGAGCAGAGAACCAAGGGGCCCTACGCTGCGCGCGGGTGGAGGCGGACAGACAGCAAAGGAGGAGGAGTAGAGGCCCGAGCCAAAGCAGACACACGCAGGGGGCGGGAGCTGGGTGACAGCCGGCCTCGGCTTCTCTCCGACCCCTTCCCCGCCCAATCCGCCTCCTGCAGTCGGCACCGCCCCTTCTCCCCTAGATCTTCCTTAGCCTGGCCAGAAAGAAGAGTTCTACCCGAGCCTGGGCGGCAGTCAGTTTGGAGGCCCTGTGGGCAGCCCGGGTCCGAGTGCAACGCGGTGACTGAGAGCGCAGGGAGGAGCCAGCGAGGTTTGGGGCCAGCGAGAGCCTGCGGAGCAGCGGGGCTGGGATGGTCCGGGGGAGGCAGCCGATGCTCACCACGGATGGTGGCGGCGGGTCCGTGGAGGGTTAACTTGGCGTGTTGGCTCGTCTGCTTCGTCTTTATTCATGGCGTAGTCCCTTTCAGTCACCTCTCTGCAGGACCTCAGTCGAGAAACCAGAGTACCAAATAATTCAGTAACAACTTACTGAGTAGTACTTGTTTTCTTAAGAGAGGACTGGGAAGGAGCCTAAAGGAATTCATCTCTAAAGGGAGAATTCTGAGCCTTCAGATGCTCCTCCCAACGTCTTGGGGTGTGTGTGTGTGTGTGTGTGTGTCTGTGTCTATGTCTGTGTGTGTGTGTGTGTGTGTGTGTTCGCCTACTGCCTAGTCAAGTCAAGCATTTATTAAAATTTATTAAGCTCCTACCCCGTGCCAGGTATGGCTAAACTCTGGAAATACAAAGAAAGGTAAAAGACAGTCCCTTGTTTTCATGAAACTCACGGCCTAATGGGGGAGATAAGAAGATACAAACAACAGAGTTTGTGACAGTTGAAGAAAGCCTGGAAGGCTAGGCAGTAGAGATGAGGAGGGATTCCAGGCAGGGGAGTGAAAGCGCTCAGTCAGAAGATTGATCAATTATTACATTTGAGGAGCCGCCAAGAGGCCAATGTTACTGAATTATGGGTACTTGGAGTGGAGTAGGATTGGAGAGATAAGAAGGGGCCAATCTGAAAGACAGGCCTGGGTAGGAAATGGCTGTGAACTGAGACAGTCGGAGAATTAAATGTATTGCATCTTGCCCATGGATCCAGAAACCATCCGTATGGGAGACAGGATTTGAACTTTAGGTCCAGCACCCCATTATTTGACACCACACTGCCTCTCCAGGTCCTGAACTCCTTCCACAACATCCCCCTGTTCCTCTATATATGAGCAGATGAGTTCAGTAGGTCTAGTGAGAAAAACATCCTTTCATGAATTGAACACTAGATCTAAGAGCCAGGCTCCACCACTTATTAACCATGTGACCTTGGGCTTGTCCCTTAACCTCTCTGAATTTCAATTTCTTCATCTTCGAAATAACACTTGCAACTACCTCACCCATACATTGTTATCAGGACAAATTGAGATTGTGAAGACCCAATGCTTTACAAACCTTATTTGATATTTGGTGGTAAGAGAACTTAAGTTATCTTTAAGGAGAAACCTTTCTTTCTGTTATAATTCTGCTCTCTCCTGTGCTTCAGATGCTCCTGGACTTTGCCACTATGACCATGACTTAGTTGCCTTCTTACCCTGGAACTTCCCTCAGCCATTGAAGAGAGTGGAGCTTCTCCTGATGGAGAAGTTCCTTTGGGGGGGGGGGGGTTGGGAGAGAGATGTGTGTGAAATTTGTGGGGAGAGATCTCCATTTTAGAGATATGCCCAGGCCAGCCATGCTTCATTTCCCTCCTGGAGAAGGTTCAGACTTTGGCCACAATGCCCCATCATCAGTACTTTTTCTCTCACCCCCCCTCTTCTCCCTTTAATATTTTGCTTACCACTACCTCCACCACCACCATCTCCTTAGAATATAAGATAGAACTTGCACTGGGACCAAGAAGAATGATTGTCTTAGCTACTCACACCTTATGTAAGTGTTGAATCTCACTGGACAAGTATGTAGTATTAGAAGAAAATACCAAGATTTGAAGCCTAATCTGGGCACAAAGGGTTATCTGCAAAGGCAGGAGATAAAATTTATCTAAGGCTAAGATACATTGCATCCTGGTTTCTCACCCTAAATTTTTGTAAAGACAGAGAAGGCCAGTGAGTGTCCTAAAGCCCTGGATACACTGATTACAGGAGAAGTAGTTCATTATTAACTGTTAATGTTGTATATCACAAAATCATATCTAAAGCTGGAAGCAGGGTTGTGCTGGAGCCATCTGAAACGTGAGAGCAGATTGTTAAAATTCTAGTGTGAGTGATGTGGTTTGGGGTTGCTGGGAACATTGAAATGTCAGGGTACAGGATGGCATCCGCCTGGAATTAATTCAGAAACTCAAACCTTCTTCCAGTCAAATGACAAGGTTTATTTTAACACCAATAGGAGCTGGCAACATTCTTAGGGAATCTGCAACTTAATGGGGGTGAGACTGATGCTTATATACAAAAAAAAGGCATTGAAAGGATCTAGATAGAATTAAGGAGTTGTAAGTAGTCTGGGGTGGGCTAGATGCAATAGTGAAAGAAATATTAAGTAGTCTGGAGTGGGCCAACAGCCATAGTGAAAGGATTGTCAAGTAAGTTAATTAAGTGATCTAGGTGGGCTGAGGTGGGCCAGATGCCTTGGATAGAGGTGCCGGTGATCTGGCCTATGAAATGTATGGGAAAATTCAGGGACTGGGTTGCTTTCAAAAATATGGTCTTTTCCTTTTAAGGGTCCAGGTCCCATCACTCCATCATGAGCATTTACCACCTCAAAAATCAGTAAATACTACACATCAAGGATCAATTTACTGTTTTGTTGATTGTCATTTGAGACCTAAGAAACTGATGTAAAAAAATGTTAATGCTAAGATTAAACTTAAAAGTGTGTCCTGCATACAATTTTTTTTGACAGCCAGTTGTTAAACATTTACCAATACATCATTGTCTGAAAGGGAGCTCAGCAGTGATCTTGTCCAACTTGGTCTTCAAAAAAGAATCCCCTGAAGTGGATGTTCAATAAGTGACCAAGCAGCATCCAGTTGAAGATCCCTAATGACCAGGAGCCCATTAGGGGCAAGTGTGGTACAGCAGAAAGAGCCCCAACTCTGGAGACACAGGACATTGGTTCAAATATTCCCTCTGCTCACTTGTGAGGCTATAAACATATCACTTAATCTCCCTGGGCCACCATTTTCAGGTTGGTTCTTAACCCTTTTTGTGTCATGGAGCCTTTTGACAATCCAGCGAAGCTTATGGACCCCATGTTTTTAAATGCATATATTTCTAAAAAGATTACAAAGAAACCAATTATGTTGAAATACAGTTACATACATATATTTATATTTAAAAAGCAAATTTGCTGACCCCAGGTTAAAAATCCCAGAAAAGATGTTCTCTGAAGTGCCTTCAATGATTCCCATGATCCTATGACTTCTCAAGGCAGCCAGTTCCAGTTATGAATAGTTTTAATTGTGGAGAAACTCTTCTATATACTGAACCTTAACCTGCCTCTCTGTTTTTCCCACCCATTGTTGGAGGCCTGCCCTGTGAGGCCAAACCCAGAGTCTAATTTACCCTCTTCTGTAGGACCACTTTGAAACCTTAACATTCGTAACAACAACTGACACTTATAGTACATTTGCATAATTATCTCATTTAATCCTCACAATAACTCTGTGTGGCAAACTCTATAAATATTACTTGGGGCAGCCAAGTGGCACAGTGGATAGAGCACTGGCCCTGGAGTCAGGAAGACCTGAGTTCAAATCCACCCTTAGACAATTGACATTTACTAGGTGTGTGACCCTGGGCAAGTCACTTAACCCTATAGCCTAGCAAAAAAAAAAAAATAAAACTTACTTACCCTTTCCCTCCCCCCCTTTTGTAGATGATGATCAGGATAGGATAAAACTGCCTACCTCCTTCTCTTCCTCCTCTGCTTACAACTATGGTGTCCTCTACCATCTTCCAGGAGAAAACCTAAAGTAATTTATACTATGAAGCCAAAATAGAATGTTGAGAAACTATTTTTTTACTGGTGGACCCATAAAAGGTCTGGGAACTAAGTCCTTGAGTTTAATTTATCTCCTTCACTTCCCCCTCCCCTTCCAAGGAAACAACTGGGTATTTTATCTGTGTGGCCTGTGGATAGTTAGATCAGTTTGAATTTCTGAACCCTTTGCTAAAATTTCATTGTTTTCAAACCAACCCCTCCCCATTCACTGTCACCTCCAAACTTTTCAAGCCTGGTTTGGGTTCAGTTTATTCAAATTAATGCTCATAATTCCCTAATCCCTTTGATTTTCTTCCTCAAAAGACTTTTACTATGGATTCCACACCCCACATCAGTTACTTAAAATAAGAAAGCAAGATAAATTCAGGAAAATAGTATAAGAGAGTGATTCCTTTCTACCTTTCAACTCAGTTGAGGAGTCACAGATGTTTTAACTGCTTATAATCCCTTTACAAAGTATGAACAGCTCCCTGAATGAGACACAAGAGAACAATGTGATTGGTTGAGCTAACAAATTCCCCTTCTAAGGGCTTTAGAGAGGCACTGGGATATTTAAGAGAGTTCATCAATTCAAGTTAGGGGTAGTTAGATGGTGCAGTGGATGGAGTGCTGGCTCTGGAGTCTAGAGGACTTGAATTCAAATGTGACCTCAGATACTACTAGCTGTGTGACCTTTGACTCAGTGACCCATCTGTAAAATGGGCTGGAGAAGAAAAGGGCAAACCACTCCAGTGTCCACTATCCAGTATACTACAGTATCCAAGAAAACCCCAAATGGGTCACAAAGAGTCCAAAATGACCCAAATAGGATCATGAAGAGTTGGACATGACTGAACATTAGACACACATATTGATTCAAGTTAGCAATGGAAAGAGAATGCTGCCCCTGAGAAGGATTTACCAGGGAAGCTGGGAGAGAATTCCTCTCTTTCCCCATTAGTCTGGTCACTTTGAGGTGGAGAGAAGCCTCAAGAACGTTTTGTG